CTGTTTTTTAATGTAGCCCTTTTTCCTAGTTCCGGCTTTCAACAAACTGCAATGTCTTTATTCAGAGCCAGTAGTGTTAGCATCCAAGTTGTGCTAAGGATTGAAGCGCCCAGAGTATGAATCTCACATGGCACCATAGCTTACCTCTCCTTACCTTGATGGCGTTAATGTAGGTGGTAAGTAACAGCTCACAATCCACAGGCCAGTCACTTGAAATCCAGACCTGTTCACAATGGGAAAAGACTGCAACTTGTTTTGGGGGGCACTAATAACGAGACTAAATTGGCGTGGCCTGAGAGCGTCTGCTGACTCTGGCCTGTTTACCACGTCTAGCCCTGGCTCTAGCCCCAGCCTCCCGAGTCTGTCTCCCTATCAGTCCCATTACTGAGCTTGGAAACGGCGGGGTAAGAGTGCAGTGTCAGTCATAACTGTGCCCCACACATGCTGGCCTTGGATTTCATCAAATCCCAAAGTCAGCCAAACCCACTCAGCTAGAAAACCACACTGTTGTTAGCAAGGGCGCCTGTACTTTTTAATTCTCTCTCTCTTCTGTATACGTTTGTTTTTGCTTATGAGTTTCATTGCACTTGCTTCCATTACACCTGTCAGCCTTTGAGTAATGAGCAAGCCAGCTTGAGGAGAGTGGGTTTTAGGGCTCGACTGGCTCGCAATCCACACTAAATAGACAGTAAAAAGGCACTTTGTTGTGCAGTCAGTCCAAGAGCCTGAGCCTGCACCATTATAGTTATAGGAGATTTTCCATTGCTTTGAATGGAAGCAGGATCGAGCCCTAAAGGTTCCAAGCCTGATTTGGATTTCACCAAAGTCCTGATTTGGAATCAATGTAAGAGGGAGCCTAGCTGGACAATGGGTTCTGGACTGATCAGGTTTCTGAGGCGCTCTAGGAAGCGTTCCATCGGGATTTTTGCATTTACTGCTGTGTAGCTCTAAGGAACTGAGTTTCCTTGACACAACTCCTTTTCTGATGTTTTTAAACCCTGCTGTGTGGGGGTGAACGTATCCCCACCTTCCCTCCCCTGAAGCGGTGGGAAAATACCTGCCCTGAAGCAAGCTGCCATGGCTGAAAGGTGAGGCTGAGAGCTGGGACTCACAAAGGAGCAGTGTTTGGGCTATGGCAGAGGCCCTGGGTTCATGGAGGAAAGCACACTGCCTGGACCCTGGCCTGAGAGGACTTTTGCACCTGGGCTGAACAGCACAGACGTTAAGAGACACAGCATTTAGCTTGCTTTGGACTCACTGGGCTGACGTTATGGTGCTGACTCCCGGTGAGCCAGAGGTATTTGCTGCAAGTTAACCCTTCCAGCCATCTAGAGGAAACTTTGTTTGACATCTGCAACTGTGTCGTGCCTGGCTATGTGAAACCCAAAGTCTGCTGAACCCTGACAGCCCCAGGCCCTGACATAACTCTCCATACTCCTTGGCACACATAGACCCACACTGACAGTACCCTAACGCACCATCACCAGTTTGCTGTCTTGTATGGTAGGCCCTACAAACGCTAATGAAGAGAATACCATGGATTGCCCAGGGTGACAGTTTTGAAATAGGACCATTCTCACTTCCCATTTACTTTCCTCTTTCCAGTGGCAACATCCGTGTTCCAGTTGCAAGCCTGCGGGCATCCTGTTTTCCTCTGCTTTATACCCCCATCCTTTCTAATACCTCCATCATGATCATCGTCCTTCTGGCCAGGGGTTAAGGTGATTTTCTCGTCCAAGTACATCAGTGATTTTGCTTTTATTCAGCTGATGGGTTGGTATTAGGGCTAATTTACATGAACATTTGGTCCGCAGCAAGCTGGTGTGTAAATCTACTCTGTACTGCTCGTTGTGCTCTGAGTGTCTGTGTGAGCTACTGGGCAGGAACAGGTCCCTGTGCGCAATGATCTACCCCCGTTTTGAAGCAGCGTAGATCAAAGCATGAGGGAACTCTTTGGGCACATCAGCAGGATGCACACAGACACTTAGTGCGCAACAGGCTGGTGTGAGGGAGTTTTACACTCCAGCTTGCCACGAACTAAGCGTTTGTGTAGACAAGCACTCTTTGCCTTTAAGGGACTGAATCGGTGGGCTCTGCAGCTTTCTGCTCTGAGGATCACAACAACCATGATGGAGAATCCGATCTTACTGCTTAGCCACTGAGTCAGCCCTGACCTAGTCCTTTTAAAGAGAAATGTACAAAGTCAGAGAGCTGTTAAGATGTACATTAAGCCTCAGACAGTAGATAGTGTGGCAAACAAAATTTGCTGCATACTGCATGTGTCCATACACCTGCTCTGGGAATAGACTGCCAGGATGTGAAGTGATAGAATTAGTTATATTTAACTTGGGGAATAGTAGAACAAAGAGCACTGAATAATTATTACAGACTTGTATTAACTAAGCCAGGGAAAACTATCATTTGTGCCTCAGTTTACCTCTCCTGCTAGATTAAAGCCTCAGACAACTTGGGCTGGGTTTTGTTTTGTTTGGAGCCATCGGTATAGATTTTACATTTCGTTAAACTTGTGTAAATCCATAGTAACTCCTTGGAAGTTGTTGAATCAGGGAGAGATCAAAATTGGGCCCAATGGCTCTATAATGAAACGAGATGCTGTCTATGGTTTACAGGTAGTATGCAGTATTGTTGTACCCGTGTCGGTCCCAGGATATTAGAGACAAGGTGAGAGAGTTAATATCTTTTATTGGACAAAGTTGTGTTGTTGAGAGAGACAAGCTTTCGAGCTCCACAGAGCTCTTTTATTCATAACTTTGCTAGACACTAAAAATCATGGACTGAATAGAGACACTGCTTTTATGTCTATTACAACAATCTATAACCCACTAACAACCCCCACCAACTGCTCCCCCCCCACACACTTCTGTTGAGATGAGTTCCTGTTTGCATCCTGTAAAACTTGCCCATACCGGTATTGCCCTGGCCTCTTCTTTTGTCATTCAGTGTTGCACGCATTCTAAAGCAATATGCATTTCCTCACCTTTTGGGGGCGAAGCCAGACTTTGAGGCACCTGCTCCCCTACTTGGTGTAAACTTTGCTTGTGCCAATCAGAAACGAACACAAACAGGTTTTGGGCCCCGTCCCCTATGACACTTCTATGATGTCATAGTTGGTACTTTATGGGCTGCCTGCCATGTGCAGGCAGGGAGAGGAGAAAGAAAAACGAATCCTGTGTATCCTGTGTACACCCGTAACCGAGCCTGATCACCTCGAAGCCTCTCTCTCAGCTCACGTGTTTCAAACAGAGTTTCTACGTTTGCCGGTCGTTATGCGTTGGTTTGTATTCGTAAGTATCAGTTATTACTAATTGCTGCATCTTTGTTTATAAATATTGTTAGTAGATACTTTAGTCATTGTGTGTTTTAAGTTTCATTAACTCTATTAGCTAATCAAACGCTGCTCCCTTACCCCTTGTAATTATCCCCAATAAAACTTTAAATTGATTAATTTTAGTTGTGTGTGTGTGTGTGTCTGCAGTTTGCATCGTGACCCATACTCTCCTTGCATCCCTTACCAATATAGTCTATTGCCACGTGCAGCCTGGTAAATAACAGGCCTGCATTTTCTTTCGCCCCTGCGTGCCCGTGGCAATCCACAACTTCCTTTCCTCCTTATGACGGGAGGGGTGTTAACAGGCCACTTCACCTTGAATGGTTCCTTGAAACATGTATTAACTACTTATGCTAAACAATCTGTTCCACCTTGTCTTTAGCGGTGACACTCTGATTAAGTTTCCCAGACCTGAAGATGAACTTTGTGTAAGCTCGAAAGCTTGTCTCTCACCACTAGAAGTTGGTCCAATAAAAAGTATCAATTCACCCACTTTGCCTCTCTATGGTTTACAAAGTCAGTCTTCTAAATTTCTCTAGTATGCTTAGCCAGGCAGTAGCATCAGGATATAATATTCATGCTATCCTTGTTATTTATTGGTAGAAACCTATACCATGAAGTGCTATTAATAAGGCAGTTATATTTACAGTATGTTTAATAGTAAATCCATGCCTTCAGTTTTGTTTTTTTTTAATGTGTGTATCTGTAGTTGAAACTACTCTATCCTTCTTTTTTGTTTTAGGAAGGAGATGTTTGGCCAAATTCCACAGCTGAAATTAATGTGATCTTTAAGCCCCGAGAAGCCAAAGTCTATCACAGAACCATCTACTGTGACATCTCAGGTACAGCATTCCTAACGGCACAATAAGCATAACATACTAATGTGTTTGGTTTTCATGTCGTGGGATTGCCAACACTAGCCCTGGTGTGAAGCTTTTCTGGTGGTGCTAAGCTACCCCAGAGGCAAGGCTTCAGGATGCAATGTCTGAAGTCACTAAATACACTGAGATCATCTAGGTCAAAATAAGGTCTGTCATTGTGTTATATGGACCACATAATATAGTAGCTTTCACTCAGATTTTCAGACAGTTACAAACTTGGCCTGTGGCTCCCAATCATTGCCTTGACTATGGCTCATATGGCATGACTGCATACATGGCAGGGCCCCGTCCTAAAGTCTGTTGCCATGCAGCCAAGCAGCAGCCCCTCTCCCTAGGCAGTCTTGCAGAGCCTTACGGAATGGACTGGCACGTGTGTCAGTACTAGCAGGACCAAGTCCTGTAATCCTAATGCTTCTCTCCCTGCATGTGGGTGGAGAGGAGAAAAAGTGAGTCTAGATCAGGGGTGGACAAATTACGGCCTGCGGGCCAGATCCGGCCCGTCAGGGCTTTGGATCCGGCCCGCGGGATTGCCACCCCCGAGATGCTACAGGTCCTGCACTGCTCCGTGAAGCAGCCGGCACCATGTCCCTGCGGCCCCTGGCACCGCCCCCCGCAGCTCCCATTGGCCGGGAACGGGAAACCGTGGCCAATGGGAGCTTTGGGGGAGGTACCCGCAGGCAAGGGCAGTGCGTGGAGCCCTCTGCCCCCCCTCCTCCAGGGGCTGCAGGGACATGGTGCTGGCTGCTTCTGGGAGTGGTGCGGCATGGGGCCAGGGAAGGCAGGGAGCCTGTCTTAGCCCCAATGCGCACTGCTGCCACCCCAGAGCCGCTCCAGGTAAGCAGCGCCGGGCCGGAGCCTGCACCCCAAACCCCTCCTGCACCCCAACTCCCTGAGCCCCCTGCCGCACCCCAACCCCTGCCCTGAGCCCCCCCTGCACCCCAACCCCCTTCCCTGAGCCCCTTGCCACTCTCCCACACCCCAACTCTGGGCCCTGAGCCCCCCTGCACCCCAAACCCCTCCTGCACCCCAAACCCCAACTCCCTGAGCTCCCTGCCACACCCCAACCCCCTCCCCTGAGCCACCCCCCGCCCCGAGCCCCCCCTGCACCCCAACCCCCTGCCCTGAGCCCCCTGCCACTCCCCCCCCCCCCCCCCCCCCGCCCTGAGCCCCCCTGCACCCCAAACCCCTCCTGCACCCCAAACCCCAACTCCCTGAGCTCCCTGCCACACCCCAACCCCCTCCCCTGAGCCACCCTGCACCCCAAACCCCTCCTACACCCCAACTCCTTGCCCTGAGCCCCCTGCCACACCCCGCACCTTCCCGCACCCAATCCCCTGCCCTGAGCCTCCTTGTAGACCCTGCACCCCTCCTGCACCCCAACCGCTTGCCCTGAGCCCCTTCCTGCACACCGCACCCCCTCCCACACCCCCTAACCCCAGCCCTACACTCATGGCCCTGCATGCAATTTCCCCACGAACAATTTCCCTCGGGCCAAAAAGTTTGCCCACGCCTGATCTAGATGCATGCAGCCCCCTAGGGACCGAGTGCAATGCTTTCCAGGCCTAGTGCAGTGGAGGCTACCCAGCATTTGCAGTTGAGAGCCACCTGTGTCCTGCTCCCTTTGACTGTATGCACATCTCAGCAGAGACTGGCATGGAAGCATCTTCTGATAGGAGTGACTGATTCACTGCCCCTGCCTGTTACCCCTTGTGGAGACAGCCATTAAACTCTGCTGTCTGAAACCAGCATGAAACATTCCTGGAACTGGGCAGTTCCTCTTGGGCTTGCTGCCTGTCCTGCTCAGCTTGCTGTAAGGCACTCCTCTTGAGCTGGAGGCTGTGGAGGGGTCAGTGGAACATTGTGGGTTTCCTAGTGGAGTATTTCCCTGTCTGTGGGTTTCTGAGATGGAGGGAACATCAGGCCCTTGAATTGATCTGTTGGCAGCCAAACTCCCGCTGAGCTGCTGGATAGTATAATCTGTGGTCTGTGCACAGTCATTTGTTGACTTCCATAAGGCTTTAAGCTAAAGGATACAAATGTCATGCAAGTACTTTTTACTTACATAGTAATTGCATAGGGTTTACTTGGCAAACATCACCTCCAGTAATTAAAGAGGGCTTCTGTCTTCCCATCCACCAGCTGCAAGGGTTGAGCTTCATTCCTCAGCCCTACTGAAGGAAAGATTTGTTTGAAAAGCCCTTGCCAAGGAATCCCACGTTTGACATGCTGCTCCTTAGCCTGGGCATCTAGGTCTCCCACCAGTGGAGTATTACTCAGCTTTCTACCGGAGTCCCCCGGTGTGCTGCAAAGGGATTCCACAGGCTTTTTCCTTGCTGACATCTGGAACAAAATACGGCAGTCAGGGAAGAGCCTTAACAAAATGAGCAGATTGCAGAGAGAAAGGAGAAAAGCCGCTGCATGATGCAAGCTATTTACAGGCGGGGGAAATCCACCCAGTTAGACTGACAGTAATAGCAGAACTAGAACTCAGCAAATAATTGCAGTGATTAAGAGGAGGGATGGTCTTGTGGTTAAGGCTCTGGATTGGGACTTGGGAGATCTTTGTTCTTCCACAGCTTCCCTGTGTGAGCTCAGGCAAGTCACTTACTCTTTCTGTGCCCCAGCAGTCCAGCTGAAAAATGGCAATAACAAACCTTCCTTTGTCTTAACTATGTAGATGATAAGATCTTCAGGGCAGGGACTGTCACAATGGGGTTCTGATCTTGGCTGAGGTCTCCAGGGGTAACTATAATGCAAATAATAATCTTTAATCAATTATTCAATGAATTTTGCATCTTATTCTAGTTCACAAATTTCTCATGTGTATTGAGTACCATTCACAAATTTCCTCAGTGAATAATGCACAGAGTGCTTGCAAGCAGCTCATTAGGAATCTTTGCAGTTCTTACTTTATTAGGCCCTGATCTTGCAGAAGAATTATGCAGGCAAATCCCTGCACCTCCGTGAGTGGGGCTCTGCATAGGTACACTTGCACAGAGGCCTTGGCTCATTACTCTGTGTCTTTCTGTCTCTGGATCAGGTGATTGCATAACTAGCCAATACAGCATAGCTTGCCAATTTGACAGTTAAGGAGAGAGGCCATTTGAAATTTGCTTTTGGCAAATATTTGAGCTCAGAATAAGCTTTTCTAGGTATACATGCTAGTAAAACCTAAGCTCTGAGTGTTTGTAGAAAACAAACATGGAAGAGCTGAGAACAGTCCAATTAAAATTCACTTTCAGATTTGACTGAGTATGTACAGAGATTTCTTCCACTTTTCCATTAGCTCAACACAGCACATATCCGGGTTCTGTACCCTGTGAGGTAAGTCAGGAGGTATTAGGAAAGGAAGTAGCCTTTTCATAGGTAAGATTGCATCCAGCTTCCATTGTAAAACCCTATTTGAGCACCCCTGGTAGGACGGACCATAGTGCACAGGCCCCCACAATTCTGTAACGGGGCCTGTGCCCACATATTATTCCCATCAAATTCAAATGGCTATAGGGCAATTCACTAGCATGCATGGAGTCCAAGTAGGATTCTGACAATGCTGGCAGCCAATTCTATAGTAAACTAACTAAAGATTTATTAGCTAAGAAAAAAGAATTGCAGTTACTGAGAGATTAAAGCAGGTAAAATATAACAATAGATAAATGACAGTTTGTAACTCCAAGTGGTGGCAATGATGTAATAAACTGCCAGTTTCCCAAAAGTCTTTCAGGGCTACTTAGAATAATTCTGGGAATCTCTGTCTTCTCGTTCAGTTATTCTGTCCTGTTAGAATCCAAACAGTCCAGAGACACAGGATCTTTCCTTGAATCGTATTTATAGTCTCTTCACACAGAAAGCAAGCTGAGAGTGTTTCTATTAACATGGCCTTTTCCTTTGATGATGGTGAGTGAGGAAAGCACTTAGACCTTTGACTATATATATATAATGACCACTTGCTGTGAAATTAGCATTTCTGTTAATTTATAATAGCAAGTCCTTCATTAGCTTTTCACAAGATTTCTTTGATGGGTAATTTAGTTACAAGGGTGTTTACCATGTAAATGTTTGCTATTACATTATGACAGGAACAGATAAGCAAAAACAATACCAGTAGCATTCCACTAGTTTTCATGAAGTTTAAAACATCTGAATACACACTTATACATCTAACCATTACTTTGATCTACACAAGTGAATTAACCTAAATACACCCTAGCATGCCCTAGTCAGCCAGGGTCACACTGGGCTTAGATGGGACTGACCCAGTCTGGCACTTCCTATGTTTTGTTTATTGAAAATTGGATCTTCTTCACAGGCCGTGAGACCCGGCTCCCCCTGCGCATCAAAGGGGAAGGGATGGGTCCCAAGCTGCTCTTCAGCTTCGACCAGCTAGATATTGGAAAGGTCTTTGTTGGGTCAACACACAGTTATGAGGTAAGCAGATAGGGCAGTGCTGATAGGCCCATGGCATGTGAACTACAGAGTCTGACTGCTTCCTATACAGCCAAAGGTGAGCTAATCCTACAGAGTATGGAGACTCCTGAACCCCAGAGCTTTTGGTAACTGCGTCATTTTGATTTGAGAGTGGCTGGGTGTCCTGAGCGCAAGCTCAGAATGAGCAAACCCTGGGCTTCATCTACCTTTGAATGGTGTGTATGTTCCCACTGCCTACTTCTAGGGGCGCATTTCTCCTCGCTGTATCCTTAGTGCAGGGTGTCTACGTCTGATGTGTTTTATGGCTTGAGCAGCACTTTAGGCACTAAAATAGCATAAGGACATAGCTAATCCTCTGCAAAAAGACTCCAGTGACTTCAGTAGACTTTGGTTCAGGCCTTAAATGCAATGCACCTTTGTGCTATGGCTGTTAAGAAGACACAGTGTCCAGGTCTACACTACAAAGTTTTGTTGGCCTAGCCATGTTGGTCAGGGTGTAAAAATCCATGCCTATAGCTGACGTAGTTCTGCCAGCAAACCCCCTAGTGTAGATGCAACTGTGCTGATAGAAGAGTTCTTCTGTCAGCATTGCTGATGTTAGGGGAGGTGGTGGTACTATGTAGGCAGAAGAACTCCTCCTGTCAGCGTACATGGTGTCTATGCTAGAGGGCTATGCTGACAGGTTTTGTACAATAGACAATGGCTAGTAGCTGGAACAAGCTTGCTGCATGTGAACTCAATTTTGTGGAAGTCCATTCAAACAACCCTCAGTTCAGTACATCCTACAGCTTCCTGAGGTTAAGGGAAATGCCACCTGATCTATTGACTGCAAATTACCACTTGCAAATGACTCTGAATGCTGTCCATTGCCCATCAATCTCTTCCCACTCCTTGCTCTCTTTGCAATGAGGACTTTAGGAATCAATCTGAAAGAGTTAAGAGTTTCTGCAAGTGAAGCAAATATTAGCAATGGCATCAAATATGAGCAAAAATGAAAAACACAGCAACCTAAAGAGGTATTAAATGAGGCAATGCATCATGTTGGACATTTTTGAAAGCCCTGCTGTGGCGGGGAAGGACATGCTTAAGGTGTTTCTTCACAGAAATATTTTGTACTCTGTGCATTTTTAATGCTGATGCCTTATTGCTTCTCTCTCTATCAATTTATTATTTTCCTTACCTGAGACAAATTTAAACAACTAGATGTTGCCCTTAGTCAGTGTTGTTCTTGGCAGCTACACAGTGAGTAAACTTCAACTTAGGGGTAGCTTATATTAGGACCTGGTGTAACTAAGCAGTAAAATACATGAGAGTGTGTATGATTATTTTTATTCTTTCCTCAATGAGGAAGAGGAGGGTGTGCAACTATTCTTTGCAGCAGTACAGAATTTTAAAAAACAAGTCACATTTTCATGCTTCTCCCTCAGTTTCTTTGCTAGATTCTACAAGGACAAAAGGGAGCGAGAGATTGTAAAACAGATGAAATGTGTCTGTGGAAATGGCAGGAAGTCACCCTGCAGCACTGAAGAAATTTATAATTTTGCCTAAGGCAAAATGTATCAGTGAAACAATGTGTTTGACAGTAGTGGGGACTTTTTGACCAGTATAAAGGGTATGATCTGGAGAGAAGCTGAGGCCTGCATCTCTTATTCAAGACAATGGGATTTGTGGGTGCCCAGCAATTTACAGAATCCAGCCCCAAACTTACAATGTGTCACAAACAATTGGGAAAGTCTTAGATTGTGCTT